CTGCTCCACAACCGTTTGAAGTAGAGCTTCCGTCCACATATACCTTCCAGACTTGGTCTGGAACTTGAGAGTCAGGAGGACGAGTCATCTCTACAATAAAGTCAGCAAAGGCTTGCCCCTTCACTGCTTTTCTAGGCTCGAAAGTAACTTCGAGGCTCTGTATTTCTATGGCCCATTTGATCATTCGTCCGGACGACTCCATGGTGGTAAGGGGCCGCTTGATTGGTTGGTCGGTATACACGACGACTGCATGTGCCAAAAAGTAGGGCTTCAATTTTTTAACAGCCATGAAGAGTGCAAGACCAAATTTCTCCACTAGGGGATACCTCAACTCGGCATTTTTCAGTACGTGACTGACAAAGTAGACCGGGAGCTGACAGCCGTCCCTTTCAGCAAGGAGCACAGCGCTTAACGCATGATCAGAGACGGCCAGGTACATGTAGAGATCTTCTTTGGGCAAAGGGCTGACCAGCCTCGGCAAGGAATGCAAGTGAACCTTTAATTTCTGGAAGGCGGCCTCAGCATCCGGCCCCCATTCAAACCTTGCCTTTTTCTTAATTGCCTGGAAAAAGTATAGGCATTTGTCGCCTGATCGGCTTAGGAATCTCCCCAAGGCCGCCAGACAACCTGTTAACTTCTGAACCTCTCGGACGGTACGAGGCGACTGCATGTCAATGACCGCCTGCACCTTCTCAGGGTTCGCCTCTATTCCTCTCTGATTGATGAGGAATCCGAGAAATTTCCCAGACTCAACTCCAAATACACATTTCTTGGGATTGAGCATGACATGGTGCCGCCTGAGTGTGGCGAAAGTTTCTCGGAGGTCTGTCAGATGATCTTTCTGAAGTTTAGTCTTGACAATCATATCATCAATATATGCCTCGACGTTTCTCCCAATCTGATCAAAGAACACTGTGTTTATCATTCGTTGGAAGGTAGCCGGGGCATTCTTAAGACCAAACGGCATGACCGTGTAACAGTATAATCCCTGATCAGTGACGAAGGCCGTCTTCTCCTGATCTTTCTTCCATAAAGGAATTTGATGGAAACCAGAATAGGCGTCCATAAAACTCATCAAGGCATGGCCGGCTGTTGAGTCGACCAGGTTATCAATTTTAGGCAGAGGGTAACTGTCTTTGGGGCACGCCTTGTTCAAATCTGTGTAGTCTACACACATTCGCCAGGTGCCATTCGACTTTTTAACAAGCACCACATTTGCAACCCAATCTGGGAAGTAACATTGCCGAATGAACCCTGCATCAAGTAATTTTTTGACTTCGGCGGCTGCCGCCTGACCTCTTTCTTCACCATGGTTCCGCTTCTTTTGCCGTACCGGCTTCTTTTTCGGATCCACAGCGAGTTTATGTACCGCCAGATCAGGACTAATGCCTGGCATTTCATGGACTTCAAATGCAAAGATGTCCTTGTATTCTTTCAACAGGTTGTGAAAGTCGTCACCAAGGTTTCTCAGAGCAGTCGTCCCAACTTTGACTGTTCGGTCAGGACGTGAGTCGTCTAATATCAGGTCCGCATGCTCACCAGCCGGCTGAGGGCGGAACTCATCCGGCCGCTCCTCTGCCAATGATTGCTATTTTCTTGCTTTTCTTGCGGACTCTGTCTGGGACGCCTTTCTCTTTTTGTCGCCTGTTTCTTGAACAGGCGCACTCTCCTTGACATTGTCAAGGTCTGTTTTTTCTCCACTTGACCCAGTGGCCATAACAGTGGGCTTGACATCCGAGAGATAGCACTCTCGGGCCATCCTCTGATCTCCCCTTAGGGAGCCGACTGTTCCATTATCCCTTTCAAACTTAAGCAGCATAAGTGACGGGATTATAACAGCCTTGGAATTATTCAGGGTTGGTCGACCCAGAATCATGTTGTAGGCCGAGAGTTCCTCTACTACTAGGAACCGGACTACCATGTTTCGTCCTTCCCCTTTTTCGCCCAGGCGAATGGGTAGATCTACTCGTCCAGTGGGTGGACGACTCCTCCTCCAAACCCTATTAAAGGGTGGGAGGCCGGATGTATGCAGTCCGTCTGATATTTCAGTTTTGACAGACATTTGCTGCTGATGAGATCTGAGGAGCTCCCGGTATCTATGAGGATTCGGCCAACTCTCTGGTTGGCCACTTTACATTCAATAACGAGAGGGTCGTCATGCGGCCCCCTTATTCCTCCTAGATCCTCTTCAGTGATGACAATCTCAGGAAATGTATATTTGGACGGCCGTTCTTGGTGAACGGAATTTACATCTAACCGCCTTATATTATCTTTGTTGCCCCTAATAGTGGGGCCGCCTCCTGAGAAGCCGCCTGCAATGGTGTAGACGACTGCATCATCTGTATCAGAACTGTCGGCCTGTTGATTCTTTTTGGCCGACTGCTTTTTTGAGGAAGTGTTCCCCGTAGATTTCTTGACATAAGTGTCAAGATCACCTTTATCAGCCAAGCGGTCTAGGTACCGCATGAGACTGATGCAGTCATTGGTGTGATGACCAACGTCATCATGATAAGCACAGATTTTATCTTGGTTCCGGTTGTTTGCAGAACCCTTCATGGGGACCGGCTTCTCAATTGAGAACCGTCCCTTTATTTCTTTTAGGATAAACTGGTTATCCTTGTTAAACACATACTTTGGGGAGTATGGTTTGAATTCTTTTTTCTTTTTCTGGGCCGGCTGTTTAGAGGAATCAGCCGCCCAGACCTCTTTTCTTTTCTCATCTTTGTTGGACGACTGTTTCTGTCGTCCCTCTCTTTTGTCGAACCTCTTCCCGTCCGACTGTTTTATCGTACACAGATCAGTCGCCTGTATATAGGCTTCTGCTTCAATCAAGGCTTCTTGAAGAGTCGCCACCCTTTTTCGAACTAAATCAAATTTGAAGGTAGACCCGTCTTTGAGACCTCTAAAAAAGTCAGTGTAAGCTACCTCATCCGGTAACCCTTGAATCTGTATTCTCATCAGGTTGAACCGCCTGATGTAAGAACGAAGCCCCTCCTTCTCGCCCTGCTGAATTGTTCCCAAATCAAGGGTCGTTTTCTTCGCAGGGATGTTCATAGCGAAGTTGGAGGCAAATAAGTAAGCAAGCGTCCTGAAGCTGTTTACACAACCAGTCGGCAGGTTGCCGAACCATTGCTGTGCAATTCCCTTGAGAGTCGCTGGGAAACACTTGCACCAAGTGGGATCATCCAACCCTTGAAGGTACATCAGGTTGGTGAATGCCATCAGGTGGTCTTCTGGGTTAGTAGTGCCGTCATAGGCGCCTACTAGAACATTTTTTACTTTGGCCGGCTGAGCGACTTCAGTAATTTCCTTGGAGAAAGCCGATGGCTGTTCACCAAGTCTAAGCAGCCGTAGCTGCCAGTCCATAGGTTGGACGTTTTTTGCTGCAGGTCCACCAAATGGAGGTGGCTGCATAAAATACTGTTGTTGCGGCACAAATGGTAAGTTTGGTACCGCCTGGGCACTATGAAAGCCGGACTGACGGGAGGTGCCGCCTGACTGACTCTCATGGTACGACTGAGTATGCCTCATCGAGGCATTTCGCAAACTGTCTTGAAAATTTGAAGTAGAAGCCGACTCTGATAATCGGTCACTCTTCTTCTGCTCTAGCAGGAGCCGAGCATCTGTGAACGTTTGCTTTGACCCGTCCGCCTGAATATGACGAACTGGTTTCCTATTTCCCGTAGGATAACGGAGTTTTGTGAAATCAAGAGCAGGTGGCTCCCGCTTCTTGGATTTAGGATGGGGAGTCGCCTCTCGCCCTTGAACTGGCTTCCTCTTCAGTGAAGTGGAAGGTTTCTTGGCCGACTGCTCTTTGACTGAAGCAGGCGGTTTTTTGTTGATCAACTCTTGAATCTCTCCCTTGAAGTCCCTCATGAAGGTCATGAGTTCGTTCCTTGTGATGGGAGCAGACCCATCAGTCGGCTGTTGCCGAGCAAGCGGTGCGCCTGCTGGCTCGCTTCCTGTTTGAAGATGCTCCCGTTCCCTCCTTTCGGTATGACGGGTACGTCGGGCCCTTAGGGTCCCGTCTGGAGCTGTATGAGTTTCAACTTCAAATTCACTTTCGGTATCATGGTCCGACTGAACTTGAGGGTCGTCTAGGGGACGCCTCTCTTCTGGAGTCGGTACAAACTTGGATGCCATCTCTGAAGTACTCTCCCCACAGACGGCGCCAAATGTTTCGGGGTTTTCTGATGTCCTGCGGGAGAGTTACAATTCCGAGACTGGAACCGGACGCCTGTACCTGCAAAATAACGGAGACTCCTGAGAGCTCCGCCTCCAACGGTCAAGTTAGTACCTGATTAAGGAGTAATTAATACGGAAATTAAAGTAATAAGATCTCTCTAGGTGAGAGTGCTTAGTGTTGGTAATCTGCGTCGTTAGCGAGATTAGCCGGTTGTTGGTGTTCCGTAATATTTCTGTTCTTCTCTGCTTGATTTCTTGATTATTCGATTTTCTAACTAATGAGGATTAATTAAGTATTTATAGCCTTGAGAAGCGTGCCACTCTCTAGGTTTAAGGTAAACCTAGGGCTGATCGGGCCTCTAGACTGGATTGGGCCTTGATGGCCGGTTTTCCCATTTGGCATGGATGGACACGTGGCGTGTCTAAATTGGTCCGTAGAGGACGTATCTGTGACTGACACGTGGCAGGCTCCTGTTGGCCTTCGTGAAGGACACGTGGCGGAACCTGGTTGGTCCACTTGTCAGTCGGTGATTGGTGGATAAAAATCCCCTAATCAACTGGTACGTGCTCCTCTTCAAGTTCCTACTTCATTTCTTGCGCTCGGGGTTGCGTGCAAGCCCTCCTCCTCCACGCACAACACTCTTTAACTTTTATGCCCTATACCCTAACTTCTACTCCCTCTGTCCCTATTTTTTGCCATTTGACTTTTCACGGTATCCAAGACGCATCTTAGAATGCACATATCTTCAATAATATACACCGTAAAAATTCTAAAAACTTGATATTAATAATAAAATATAAAATGAGCCGAATTCAATTTCATAAGTATATTATCTCTTATAAGATTAACCGTAATAATGACTATGAAACAAAAAAAAAGTTTAAATATTACTCCGTGTTAGGGTTTAACAATAAACCACCTAAAACCCCAATTTCCCTCATCTCTCACCTGCTTGTGAAACCACCGCACTCTCTAATGGCGGCCTTCGACCACAGCAAAGACCTCAATGATGTTGCCTTGAAGCCTCGTTTGCTACGCATCCTCCTCAAAGACCAACTTCCCGATGAAACACACCCACTTCGTAACCCTTCTGAGCTCTCTTCCATTATTTTCACTCTCAAAATCCATAGCCTTCTTTCCGAAGATATTCCTCCTTCTGCTCATCAGAAGCATGTTTCTGACTGGAACTCTGCTGTTGATGCTTGGGTTCGTCGAATTCTAATTCTTTGTCGAAGTGATTTGGTAAAATTAACAACCCATTTGACTTTTTTTTTATTATTTTTTATTTATTTTATTTATTTCAATGATTAATGTTTAAAATTCATTGACGATATTGATATTTTCAGTAGTAGTTTGTATGACGTTTTCGGTGTATGCTAGTGGTTTAGTGGGGTTGCTTGAATGTTGGGACCTTTTATTGAAGAGCGGTTATAGTTTGGAGAATTTCAGAATTTGATAATGTGAGAATTGAAATCTTGATTTTATAATTATCTTTGATTTGTTTGAGTGTTTCTGTGTTGAAAATCAGCTCATTGAGTTGAAATTAAGTTAACATTTTGGTTAATCAGTTGACTGTTTTTTCTGCATTTTCGTAGCGTATTTGAAATGAATTGAATCCTCTGAGAAGGAGCTGTTAACGGCTGGTTTTGCTTGAATCGAAGTTTGTAGGGTTGCACCCTTTTCAGTTTTATATTAGAGGAGTATTAGCTTGGTTGGCTATGAGTGTAAAGGAATTTGTATCGGTAGAAATGATGTGGGCTACAACAATCGAGTTGGTTTCCATTGCGTTTTGTTGGATTTGGATATGAGCTGATTATTGTTTGTTACATGGATTTCCATTTTCTTTCAAGAAATTCTGTTTGTGTACTTTATTGGAGATTTCATGAGCTCATGTATAAAGTGTTGCCCGTCAATATTCTAATGAGGGTTATTTTCATAATCACGGTGCAAAAACATGATATTGGATCAGTTGATGTTACTGTCAAGTGCCAAACCTGACTTTGCTTCACAGTATTTTTAAAAGAAAAATTCAACAAGATCGTTTGATTTTATTCTAGTTTTTCACGTACAAATGGTTTAGTTAAACTTATTCAAGAACAATACGGCTGTAGACTTGAATCATGAACAATGTTTCCAAACACTTTTGAACTTTTGATGTTTGTGTTGCATTACTCTATATGAATGCACTGTCAAAATAATTTGTTTTGTAGTCTTGGTTCACTGATGTTATGCTAGGTTGTTTTATGCGCAGTCCAATGCACTTTTTTTTCCAGAGTTATATTTAGTATTTTTTTTTTTTTTGGAGAGTAAATGCATATGAATGACTGATGATTCCTTTTCTAGCCAGATAAATGTTGGGCTGGAGTGTGCTTACTTGGAGTGACTTCTATGGAATGTAGCTCTGCACGCTTCTTAAAATCACACTCAGATTGGTTCAATGTGCTTCTATCACATATTCAGGTGAACAATTTAATTGAAACATAATATCTACGAGGATATGCAAAAAGATGTTAAGCCCATGCTTCCTTTTGATGATAAGAGAGGAATAAGTCGCATTTCTTCTCTATGAATCTTGAAGGCATTGTATTCCTCTACAGTACATTATTTCCACTGCTAGTAATAGTTTTTTTTCCACTGTTTTTGTAATGAGTGCAAGTTTTAGACTTTTACACTTGCTAATGCATAACTTTGAACATTAATGTCTTTTAGTGTCATCTAGTAAATATTATTAAAATTTGATATTTTGAACTTATATATCGAGATGATTTTAACAAGATCCCATATGACTATATTTTATCTTACTTAAAAGTCACAAATGATGGTCAAAGTTTAATAAGTGAATAGTGTTAAAGTCAAAACATTGTACTTATATAAAAGTAAAGGATGCATTCACTTTCTAACAATTATTCCATGTGAAATGTGAATATTTCTTGTAATAAAGACCTCAAAAATTGAACTTTTTTAGGTATTGCAGAAGAAAGGTTTCAAGTACTCCCTTCATTTTTGAATATTTGTGACACTTGAGCTTGCACCTAGTTTTAGGAAGGGTTGTAGGTAGTGCATGGAAATAAATAAATAAATAAATTTGAAAAAGTGAAGTTAATGCTGTTTTTTTATTTTTTATTTTTTTTGGGTAAGAGAGAGAAACAATAGAAAACAGTGCAAGTGAGGTAAATGGGAGAGTGAAACAATAAAATATTTATGCAATTGAGTTATTGGAAGGGAGAAACAAGAAAGTATTAGTGGTCACGTGCCAAAATAAAAAGTGTTGTGCGAATTCGTAAACAGATGAAAAAGGCAAGTGCTGCAAGTATTTTGGAATGTATGGAGTAGCACCTATAATGTCTCTCAAAAAAGTAACTAATATAAATTAAATTATTAACTCAACTCAAAATGATGAAATCATTAGTGTATTACCATCCATAGATGACCCTTTTTTTTAATATAGCTTTGAAAGGGGTAAAATTGATTTTTGAAATTTATAAAATCTCCTCCATATTTGACATAATCTTTGCTACTGGTAGCTTCAAACTTGCATACAGTCTGCAGAAGGCTCTGCAATGTTGTTGAAAGATTCCAGGTCTACAACCCTACTACAGTTAAAGAACTAATCACAGTAACAGATATGTCACTTGGTGTTGGATAGTTCCATTCTGAAGCTATCTTACTTTATCCTTTTACGTTTTAGTAGATTTGACAGACTGTTGCATACATGGCAAAATGTCTATATCTCATATCTTAAGCAGCCATCTAGTGGAGCTTCGCAATTTGTCAAGGTATCTTCCTGTGCTGCTGTGTCAGATCTTCTAACAAGGTTGGCATTTCTTGTTCTAATCTGATCAGTTTTGTTGCTCGTCTGTTCATGATAATTCTAAAAAATCGAATATGTTTGTATTTAATGTTCTGAATTTAGATAACAAAAACTTGTAGTAGCTTAATTACTTTATCTAAAAATGTTTCTTGTAATTTCTAATTGCAGTGTGCTTACGACACTTCCATTATATGTCCTGAACCAGGCTCGGTAGATTCTCAAACCTAAAGAAGGATGGAAACTCTTATGCAGGAAAACTTGTCCAGCCAATTCTCAAGCTGCTCAGTGAGGATGTAACTGAGGCCGTGTCAGTTAGTATTTATATCTCTGCTATTAATTTTTTGTTGCTTCAGCCTTTTTATTTTTTTTTTAGAAGTAATACTTGTTGTGATAGAATTTCAATCTCAAATAATGTGGCTGCACAGTATTACCAGTCACTTTAAAATCCCATGAGGATATAGTGTTTGCATTAGCTAAAAAATATGTTTCGAAGTGGGTTATGATTTATAGCCTAAAAACGTGTTTCGAAGTGGAGTATGAATTGATGATCTCTAGTAATTGATTCTAGGGAGTAGTATTAAACTTTGGTAATTAATTATGAATAGTTAAGCTATTTTCAAAAAGGGTATGAATGCAATTTTGTTGGGAAAGGAGTTAAGGAATAATTGACATGTGTCCAATATTTAGGTTAGAAGACATAAACTGACTTTTGTTTTTGTTTTAGTTGTAGTTATAGACTAGTCAGTAGTCACATGCCCTCCCCCCGTTGGCCGCCCCCCTGAATACAACCTTTTTTTAAATAATTATATAGTACCAAAAAAGTAGTAAAGGTAATATGCCTTTTAAAACTAAGATATCGCCAAGCAAGTAGAACATGTAAAAAATGGAAGTAGTTTATCACAAACAGTGGCCTGTGGCCTGTGGGGCTGGGATGGCAGGTCAGTCAGATATGTGATCTATGCTTTATATTTTATTTAATCATTTTCCAACTCTTTGATGATTGTTTGCAGGATGTAGCAGCTCATTTGCTGCTGACAATCTTAAATTATTTCCCTCCTTCAGTTCATCGTCATCATGACAATGTGAGCCTACTCTTTCTGAGATTCTTTTTTCATAGTGATATCATATTTAACTGCCAAAACACACAGTAATGCTATCATTTAGAATCTATGCAACTACACTAACAGGAATCTACCTGAAATAGAATATATGATCTTCACCATAGATTTGTAAAGTGTTAAGATTTATAGTATCCTTAATCTGAAGAGAACTATTGATTTTTCACATATAGATTCAATGAAAGAGTTGCCAGCCTTCATGTTAATGCACTTTGTGCCTTATCTCAAAAGTTGTTTTGGTATGCTGGGGAACTGCAAATTAGAGCAGGAACCTGTTACTTTGCTTGATATGATGTTTCAGTCAACTTAGTTTGGTTGCCTACTTCTCTGCTTATATTGAAGGACATGTCTCTTGTAACTAATGGTTTTTTGAAGAATATAATCTCTTTATTTATAGGCAATTGTTCCACACAAGTTTTGACTACTTTGGATTAACTTGGTAGATTAATCTACAGTATTCAGGGTCTATGTCTAGGCTACATGTAACTGATCTTCAGCTACTTTTGCAGGCTGAAGAAATTATTGTGTCAAAAATCATGTCTGCTAATTGCAATGCCAATGTGCTGAAGGTGTGGGGCTTTCTGCAGTAACATTATAATATAGTTTTGGCTGTATGGGTATAGGTGACAGTTGTCTTCTTTTTCCATGTATTTAGAAGTTATCTTGTTGCTTAGCTTCACTTCCAAAATCAAAAGGAGATGAGGATAGCTGGTCTTTGCTGATGCAAAAGGTTTTGGTATCTTTGAGTGCTCTTCTAAATAGCACCTTAGAAGGCCTTGAAGAAGGTATAAAAGCAGTTGCATTTTTTTATTTTTTGAAAAAAAAAAAACTTGTTTTTATTTATTTATCAAATCATGGCTTCATTGTTACCGGCAGAAAGAAGACGTTTGGAGGCTGTTACATTATTGGTTCCACCAGGGAAAGACCCTCCACCAACGTTGGGGGGAAAAATGATGACAGGAGAAGCATTTAACACTGGAGAGAGGTCCCAGAAAATGCTAATCTCATCCATTTCATCACTGATGCAGTGTTGCTGCATGATGCTCACAAATTCTTATCCTGTTCAGGTAATTCTGCAGTCATTATTTTCTTAAAAGAAATTAGTAGTTACATAACATATACTCTCTGTGGCAGTAGACATTGAGGATTAGGATGACTATTAATCACTACTTATAATACCTTTTTCTTCTATCAAGCACAGGTAACAGTCCCTATATGCCCATTATTGGCCATAATTAGAAGGGTGTTGATGGTCAATGGGTCTTTGCCAGAAGCCTTACAGCCATTTACAACTGCAATGCAACAAGAATTTGTATGTTTGCAACTTCCTGTTCTACACCTAAATATGTTGGAGGTTCTTGCAGCAGTTATTAAGGGATTACGCAGGTAGAACATGCTGTTCTTTGCCCAGGAGCTCTAAGTTCCACTATGATGCTTATTTTTCTGGAGTTATTGCTCATTCATGCCATTTTGTTTTTCAGTCAGCTTTTACCTCATGCAGCAGACATTATTTGGTTACTAATGAAATATCTCAAAACATGCTGCATGCCAGAGCTGAGAACTAAAGTTTACTCCATAATCAGAGCTTTATTAATCTCCATGGGTGCTGGTAGGTTCTCTATATCTGTAATCTGAATATTATTATTGGCTAATTTCTTATGCAAGTGTTTTCATACCCCCTCTTCTGTTAAGTTGAAGTATGCAGTGTGTACAGGTGGAGATGCTTATAATGTCTTAGCATGTTTACACTATGAAACATTCTATGCTAACCTGGAATTGGATCATAATCCTGTTTTGTTTCTGTTAGTTTGTAAATTGTCACCCTTAGATAATACATGAAAGCTATGCCACTTTGCAGGTCGATGCTTTTTGCACATCTTTAAATTCTTAATTAATTATAGTGTCAGTATAATTTTACTTAGGGCTTTAGTGCACTTAGATAGATATGGACCACAAAATTATATAGCCAAAGTGACCATGGTCGTAAAGCCTCAGTTACTTCTTTTTTTTTATCCTTCTTTGGCACTTTCCAGTTGGTATTGAGCAGTGAAATAACTCTTAGATTTATGCTTCAATCAATCATTTAATGAAAGTCATAATGCCAAAAATGAGGAGATTGATGCTTTAGTTTGGCATTTTACTCTTTGCTAATTGTTTGTAACAAGCATTTAGAATTTTGGCCTATTTTGCTTGATTAGGCATCAACTATCATTTCTTAAATTTTATTCAATCAATCAAAGCCTTAATCCCATAAGTGGGGTCGGCCACATGAACCAAAAGTGATTATTCCGTATAGTCATCCACAAAAAACTTCCTCCTCCATCCCTTACGATCAAATACCTTATTCTCATGCAAATCCATATGCTTTATATCCTTCCTAACTTCTTCCAACCAAGTCATTTTCGGTCTCCCTCTACCTCGTTTAACCTCTTCATGATTCCACTCTTCCACTCTTTGTATCTGTGGATCCTAGGTCTTTGTCTTACATGCCCGAACCAATGTAGAGTAGTTTGCCTACAATGCCTGTGAAACTCACTTTCTTGCAAATACCTTCATTTTTGATTCTATCTCTTAGAGTGTTCTTGCACATCCATCTTAACATGCACATTTTTGTAACCTCCATCTTTTTGATGTGTTCCTTCTTAGAAGCCCTTCTGTACCATAGTGATCATTGGTCTTAAGACAGTCCTATAGAATATCCCCTTCAATTGTAAAGGAATGCTTCGGTCGCATAACACTCTGGTGTATTTGCTCTGTATTTCAGCCACCTTGACTTAATCCTGTGGGCCACGTCTTGATCAATGTCACCATTCTAAGATATTTAAAACACTTACTCATGGTCAAATCCTTTCCTTCTAAACTCACTACATCATCGCTTGTCCCCCTCTGTGTACCAAAGCGGCATACCAAATATTCAGTTTTACTCCGACTTAGCTTAAACCATCTAGATTCCAACCTTTGCCTCCATTGCTCTAATTTGACATTAACCCCATCTTTTGTTTCATCCACCAAAACGATATCATCCGCAAACAATATATACAATGGAACCTCATCTTTAATTGATTTTGTTACTTCATCTAGAACCGTTGCAATAAAGAAATAGGCTTAATGTTGACCCTTGATACAATCCAATTGTAATGGGAAAATCTTTTGTCAACCCTCTACATGTCCTCACCTTATTTTTAAAAAGCGCGCCTATGTTGGCGCAAGGCGACGCGAGGCGCAGGCCAAAACGCCTAGGTCTTCCTAGGCGTAGCGCATTCCAGAAGGCGCGCGCCTTAGGCCGCCTCCTTATGTTCAAAAGCGTGAGATAAGGAGATTCGGATTAATTTTTTTATAAAAAAAACACATTTGTTTTTCAAATTGATGCTTACCTAGTCTGTAAAGTGACAATTCGAGTAAAAGCCCATTGTTAATTGAATATAATCGCTTCAATTTGACCCCAAATTTAAAAACCCTAATTTTTTGAAAACCCTAATTTACGGGTTGCTTTGCAATTGAAGAATTGGTGGGTTCTGCTACGGCAGACATTGCCGGAGATCAATTCCCGGCGGTTTCCGGTAGCAGACCGGCGGCCGGCGCCGGTGAAGCAACCCAGGTAAGTCCCCCCCCCCCTCTTCTATTCTCTGTCTTCGACCTCTGCTCTTTTCCATTCTTTCATTTTCTGCTTCTTAATAACGTAAAGATTTTTATTTTCTTTTTTATTTTTTCAGTTTTTTTTAGTTGATAAAATAACAAAAGCTTGCTCTCCTTCTGACAGTCAGTCACGTAACCAGTCTCTCTGACCAGCTTTCCTTTTTTTTTTTTAACCAATAAAAATAGTTTTAATTATTTATTATGCTTAAATTTGAGTATTTTTAAAAAAAAAACTTACAAAAAAGCACCAAATAAAATAAAATAAAATAAGTATCACTTTAATTTGATTTTCAAACTAATTTTCAATGCCAAAAAATAAGTAAAATAAAAATAAATAAAAAATTAAAAAGTTTGCGCCTCATATCCAAAAGGCGTGCGCTTTCGCTTTGCGCCTAGCCTCGGTGAGCCTCACGCTTTTTAAAACTAAGGTCCTCACATTTGTTGACACATCCCAATACATACCTTAACCAGATCCAAGTACCTTTGTGGGATACCTTTCTTCAACATTGCCCACCAATGTATCTCTCTTGGCACCTTGTCATATGCCTTCTCTAAATCAATAAAAACCATATGGAGGTCCTTCTTCTTTACCCTATAAAACTCCATTAGATTTCTTATCAAATGGATTGCTTCCTTAGTAGATCTCCGGGCATAAAACCAAATTGGTTATCGGAAATGATTGCTTAAATTTTATTGTTGTGGTTTTTATTATTTGTTTTTTATTATTACGATAACTTATATTATCTTTAACAAAGAAGAGGTGTGTTGCCATAACTGCATTTTAGCCGGTGTTGTGGATATTTCGGTGACTTTTTGAGTTTTAATTATAAATTTTTAATTAATGGATTAGCTTCAACACTATTTTAGTCCCACAAGGCGTTAGTCAATCGGGGTGGCTGTGTATATGTTTGTCAGTCTAATATCAAAGCAAAATGTGTGGGTTTCACCCCAGTAATATTACCAAAGAAGACATTTTTAATAGTTTATTGCATCCATGAGCCAGTGTCAGCTTATAAACTTGGAGATACTACTATCTAATCTCCGTTCCTCTGAAACCTGCCTGTTTCATGTGTTACCTCGCCTAATTTCACTAGTTAATGGCATATATGTCAACTGAAGTTGACTTGGTAGGCTTCTCTTGAGCTTATTAATGTCGAATGTCAAATTTTGTATCAATATTTCGTTATAAAGCAGTTTGGAACTTTAAATTTGCAGAATCTTTTTTGTCTGTGTTTTTCAATTGTACTTGTTTTAGTTTTATTTCCAATAATGTATCTTATGTGGATGAGAAACTATTTTGTAAGTCAAGCTATGGGGACATTCAAAGTTATACTGCTTATTGTAGAATGAGGTACACTCAATATGCTGAGTTTGTTCTTTATCCATTTTCTTTCCGTGCTGACTATGTAGAAAATTTCTTAGTCAACCTCATTGGAGAGTGGAATCAAGGTGGAATTTGGATCATATCATGTTTATTTGGGTGGTATCTCTTATTGACCATTAGTGTTATTTATAATGGGCTTTGGATTATAATGGACTTAATCAAAATGGCTTAATAAACTGTCATCATGTCTTATGAAAAGTAGCAGAAGAGGATATAACATAAACAACCTTTCTGTTTTGCAAAGGCTAAGACTGTTTACATTCAACCTCCAATACACTGTATGGGTGGGATCCATTTTAAGTGATATTAGGATTATGTTGATGTTGATCTTGCTGCTGCTTCCTAAGCTGTTTGCTGTTTACCTCTTAAATACATTTTTATATTTCTGATTAGTATCAATTATTGTTTTACTAATTTTTATTTAAAATTAATCAGGAATGGTACTGTACATCTCTGAGGAAGTGATCGACAATATATTTATTGATTTGAAGTTTGCTGATACTATCAATGATGTTGGACCCTTGGATGAGCAGTCACATGTTAAAGTATCACATCCTCTCCAGAAGAAGAGAAAGCATGGAGCTTTAACTGGGCCATTGGTAGAACAGCAGCCTTTGTTATGTTCAGAACCAAAAGACCGCCAATCATCAATTGCTTTAAAAAAAGCTGCATTAGAAACACTGGAGGCTCTTGTAGTGATGGTATGTGCTGCTACCAAATTGTATGGTTTTCTTTTCTCCCCTCACCAATTGGTAGTTGTTGGCAGAATTGATGGTCCTTCTCTGGCCGTTTCTGCTAAATGTAGTGTAGTTTGAATTAATTACAATGATGGTCTATTCTTAGGGTTTTTTTTTCCCCTGTTTTTTTAAAAAACAATTATTTTCAGAAATCTCTTTTCAGATTCCTAAATGATATACCTTTAGCTATGTAGAATGGATGGCGGGATGATTATGGTGTGCACTTGAATCTTGTATGAGAGTATTTTTTTTTTCATTCCAAGCTGATCATGGAGAATTAGAGGATGCATATCTTAAAACTAGCCTGATGTTGAATGTAATGGAAAGATAAAGATTGCCATGTAGTAAAGAATTATGTGGTAAATCTCCATTACACATGGTTCCAAGTGATTATATCTTCCAATAGAGGTTATATTTGTGGAAGAACTGCATGAAGAGATTTCAAGCAAAATAGCAAAATTTGTAGGAAGCAAAAAATTAGTCTCTCTGTTGTCGATTTGCATGTAACCTCTTGGTCTCTGTGTCTGAAGGTGATGCTTCAACTGACCATAAGTCCTTACCTTAGAGATGGTACTTCCATCTGACTGAAGACAGAGGAGGGCTGGAGAGAGAAGCTAACTTAGGCCCAAACATTTTGGATTCCTATGATTCAGAAGCTTTTCTTTATATAAGAGGTAAAATAGTGGCCAACATAAAGTAGGAAGAATGGGAACAACCAAGACCTTGTCCATAAGAACTTGTGGAGGTTCTAGGCGAAGCAGCATGGTAATGGGGATTCATGTTACTATGTTAGTGATAACTTGAGTCTATGCTTATTTTCTTTCTCGTGAAGTTCATGAAAATAACTTTGCTTTTCCTTCTCCTCATCAAGTGCAGAATAGGCAATAGCAGTGACATTGGTTTCATGGATAATTTGGCAGTACCACCCTTTCTCCATTTTTGCTCTTTGCCTTCGTCCTTTTGCTGCATGTAATGATTATTTATGGTGTTTCTGTGCAGTAATGATTATTTAAATGTTTTATAAAGATGTGTTTGCCCATTGTTCATTTTTTCCCTTCGCCTTCGCTCTTTCCCTGCATGATGTATCTATTTATAGTGTTTTGTGTAGTAATGATTAACTGAATGTTTTATGCAGAGGTGTTTACCCTTTGTCCCTTTTTATTTGGCACATTCCTCTCCTTTCAAAATTTTAAGGCTTGTATTGAGTGGGTTGGTAGTTTTGTCTTGTTAGCAAACAAGGGTATGGGGCCATCTTTTGGCATGGAGGGATATTAAAAGGACACTAAGGGAGTGTCACTAATGCACTTAAGGACATAGGCTGAGGCTGTAATGTAGCAGGTTTATTTACAAAATTAAGTGCATTTGGAATTTTATGTAATATCCATTTCTACATTGCCCTTAACAATGGAATTTGAATTCGACATGTATCACATCAGCAAGCTTTGCTCTGACAAATTAACTGGTTTCTTTCTTTCCCCGTGCTCTACAAAGTTGCCAACAGAACTATCCTTCAAATTATTGCAATTCAGCCTCTTTCCATCCTTTGTTTTAGGCTGTTTTATGTTCCTTATTACAAAAAGCCTGCAAGATGTGAAGTTGTACTTTGCGACTTTCTTTTGACCTTTGGTAAACTTCTAGGTCCTGTTCTTGTCATTGAAATTCTTTCTAAATAGCAACTTGCATAATTGTACATGCCAATACATTTTGATTGCCACTTTAACATGGATATGAAAAAAAGTTCCTTTAGGTGAAATTTAATTTATTAGGCCACAACAAATCATGCTAGTTAATTGTTCTATAGCCAGAAATAAACTGGAGTCATCAATATAATGTGTATGATAAAAAATTTGTGTGGTGGAGAAAAATGGTCAGCTGTTTCTGCAGTGTAAGGTTGCCTCTCGGTCATGCTCGATCTTGTGGCTTTTGTTTCTTGAATTGTCCAAGTGCACTGTTGCTCTAATACTATCTTGAGACTTTTGTTTCCTGAAATGTATTTGCTGGAAAGTATTGATTATATCTCATCTAAATTACATGAAGTGTTGTTTGTCTTGCAGGGTGGTGCTTTGAGCTGTGATAGCTGGCGCAGGAGAATTGATGATCTTATGATAGAAGTTGTGACAAATGCTTGTAAAGGGGGATGGACCCATGATGAAAAGCCTTTCCATTGTATGGAAACAAGGGCAGTCTGGGAGGATTTCCAGCTTGTGGCATTGCATGCACTTTTGGCTTCTATTCTATCCCCTGCCGGTTATCGACCACCGTATCTATCTAAGGGTCTTGAGATATTCCATAAAGGTAATTAATGTAGGTGTGCGTGTCTTGTGCCTTCATCTCAGTATAATATTCATTGCCACAGTTCAAGCTTTTGTCTTTCAACATTGATCTCCATCTTCTGTATGTTTGCCTTTAATGTGCAGTACTCTTCCATGTCTAGTGTCCGTCTCAATATTTTGCTCTTAAAATTCTTTGTTTCAGTAAATTTCATCATTAGTCTAACATGTTTTGGATTTGCCTGCATAGCCAACTTGAGCAAGGGTCTGAATGTCATAATTTCAAATAAATGTAATTGTATTTTGGTTCTGTCATATGTTTCAACAGGTAAGCAAAATTCTGGATCCAAGGTTGCTGAATTTTGTTCTCAAGCTCTTGTTGCCTTAGAAGTGCTTATACATCCTAGGGCACTTCCACTAATAGATGTGCCACTGTCAAATGGCAATAGCTATTCTTTTGGGAGGACAGATTTTGGTGGTCCTACAGACAAGCAACCTCAAAACTTTCTGTATGAAATGTACAAGGAAGACAATCTTGAATCAGGCGTTCCTGCTCATGGAGTTCACAAAAATATGCAGTTTGATGGGAATTCACTAGATGTTACCAGAGATCAAAATCATAAAGAGTCCAATGTTGTCAATGTTTTACCTGATAACGTGATGCCAATGGAGAGAGATGACGGTTCAAAACCAGCAAACCTTGCCAGTAAAGTAAAATTTTCTTACGACAGAACAATGGTTGATGTGCAACATCACAAAGAGAGTAATCAATCATCTCTAGCATCTATCTGTGATGACAACCCTGTTGTCGTACCAATGAGCAGTTCTCATGTTGCTATAACTTCAACAACTGAAGTAGAATATGTAGTTACTGCTGCTCCGGATAACAAAGCGAAGATGCCAATGATAGAGCAGGATGATGATTTATCTGATTCATTTCCTGATATCATTGATGCAGATCCAGATACAGATTCAGATTCTGAGTAGAAAATTCTTAGGAACTATGAAACTCATTTTCCTTGTAGAACACTTTTAACACCGAATTTTTTGAAAAATAGAAATAAATTTTTGGAGAGATAACAATTAGATGTATGCAATTACCTTTATTTTAAGGCCCTGTTTTATTTGTCTTGAATATTCTTTAACTAGATTGATTTAGATTAATATATATTTTTTAACTGAACAATACAAGTCATAGTATAATTGTATTTATGCTTCATTCGATTCACTAAAAATTACAACTTTTGATTCATAATTGGCTGACCCTTTCTCTCTTCCATTTTCTCTATCTTCCTAAAATAGAGGTGAACTCAGTAATCATTATGATCGAAAAATTTAGTCAATCTAGTGACAATATTATAAATAAGTGCACTTTATTTTATTGTTTATGGGCAAAATTGTTACTTGAAGTAGTGGTTATGCCCTAATACCGCTACTTTTGCCCATAAATAGTAGAAAAGGGCATTAATTTACAATATTACCACTAGATTGACAAAATTTGTCAATCATAAAGATTAACTTGTATTTTCTCTTTAAAATATACTTTAATTGTCATAATTTTAGTGAAATGAAGGAAGGAACATTTACAGTAATTAGTCAGCGGAGTAGCACAAAGACAACATTACTTTGAAGTGTTCCCATTTGTGCTAGTTCTCTAAACCTGGAATTTGGCATGTATAGGAATGTAGGATTGTAAACGCAAAATAAAGTTATGACCTGATATAGGATTATTTTACAATCAAGTATAGGTTTATTTGATTGTACAATAATTGAATGTTTGTAAGCTACATTTGAGGTTTTTACCACAAGTATTATGTCCCATCATGTAAGGTTATTTACCAAAGTGTAATAGGTAATGTTCATACTTGTTTAGATTGGAATTGCCCTACGTTAGTTTCATCTTTTGAGGCGTTCCTATGCCAGCCTATGCCCTGCAATTTTACACGTAAGTTTCTTAGTTACCACTTCCGTTTGCGCTCGCTTGTTCTTGACATGATTCTTATATCTGAAACCCAAAGCCTCTTCTTGTGCTTCACACTTCCATCTTTTGTACTCGCAAACCTATCAAGTGGATAGATGATAGATTCCGATGAACTAGGTGGAGGTAGGTTCTCTGGTTAACTCTGGATTGTGGGTAAGAAAGTTATCTTAATTATCTTAAGTAATAATAACTAGTTTTACAATATTCACAACATATAAAAACTATAGGCTCATTTAACTGATTCACTGGGCTCGCCATCTAGCTTTCTGCAGGCTGTGAAATTAGTAGTACACTGCTTTGTCTAAGTTTAGTGTAAACTTGGCATTGTATTCTGCTGTAAATCAGAACTTATAACATGGTATTATTGTACAAGAATGTTTTTATAAACTACCAAACATACACGACATCACCACATGTTCCTAATATTGATGCACTCGGGATCTGACCATTTTTTAGGTTGCACGAATCCTGAACTGGTGTCTTAGGAGTTCTCACCAAGAAGTAGTGCCTTGAGAATAGCTTCATTCATCCCGTCCGCAAAGGGAAACAAATGACCTGCCCCGGACACCTCATGGTACTTAATCCATGGAAGTCTTTGCGCGATGTATTTCTGCAACGTGACAGGTACAAGTGTATCTTCATTACCCTGCCATAGATGCACTGATCCTTGCTTGGATCCAAAGGGGTTTGTCAGATTCAGCGGACTAAAATCCCAGCTCCCAAATCCAATCATCATGTCCCGGTATATTGACTCGAATTCTCCTTGTTGCTTCACCTGTCCCTGAAAAGCCACAGATTTTCTTTATTACAATTTATCCTACTATACCAAACAGTTGCTCTGATATCGAGACAAAATATACTATTTACACATCAAGCCATTAATTACTTGACCTTCTCACAAACTACATTTCATCTAACTCGGAAAATATCTATATATTAAGCCATGATATCAAAATACCATTGCCAGATTAAGTTGATCAGATACATAAGTTGGTTTACCAGTTTGAAACAGATGTAGCATATTAGCATATATTCTATAATTTCTCTCCTTGCAAAAGTTCTAAGGAAGACAACATGCTACGTAATTAAGACTGATGAATATCAAGCAGCAGTTCCAGATTGAAATTTGAGCTACATTGTGTATCCAAAAACAAAAGAACAATAAGTATTATGAAATGAGGTCAAAACTGATGGAATAAGCCAACTTACCATATGACCAGTTCCAAGTGAAATAATCTTGGGGATAAGTTCATAATCCTGTCGACTTAGTACAGCTTTTCCAGCAGCGACACTGGAACCAGGAAAGAGCCTTTGAGTGTTCCACCAATAAGTAAGCCAGGGAAAGTAGTAGACAACCCTTTGTGCCCATTGGTCTTGAGGTGGCTGTCGTTGAAAGGCTTCTTTAGATAAGTTGTCAGGGAAGCCACTCCACCAGTAATTCACAACCGGAGCTAATAGTGCTGCTCCTGCTAGCCTGCAACAGCAAACCAGCGAACAAAACCAAAAAGCATTTTTAATTATATTATGATCTTACATACTAAAACGATCATATGAACATTCGACCATTATCAATGGCTTTAAAATAATATCCTCAGGCATCAGTGGATTCATTACATCCCGCCTGAAGGAGATACCCGCACCCCAGCGTCGGTAGGGACCCAGAGAGCTGCCAAGGGATTCAATTAAAATAGCTCTATAATAATCAAAAGCATTGTTATGTTGTTCTTTCTCTCTCTCTCTTTTTTTTTTTTTTTTTTTTTTTTTTTTTTTTTTTTTTTCCCCTTTTTAAAATTATGTTGGTGAAATTTGTGTTTCAATCCATGGTGAATTGGAAATAGCCTCTTATTTATTTCATAATAAAGTAATGTACATCACCCTTCATTACATCAGAGTGAGCCACTATGAAGGCATGATGATAATAATAATGATGTTGAAAAGTTACCTATTCCAATATACTAAGTAGTAGATTTGAAATATCCCAAGGTAATTTTTCTGCATTAATATAGTCAGGGTTTTGACTGTCAAATAGTAGCAAATTTCAAAAACCTAATGTTTTCAAGGCATTATAAGCTTGCTCAACGTGGGTGTGGGTCCGATCCATCAGAATACGGCCAATAATTCAATGTAATATCAGACTTATCAAGGACCTTTACCAATTGAAAATATGATCATTATAGAGGTAAGTATTTTATCAATAAACCTGTACATTGCATTGTTTACTTTCAAGGAAGTCATTCTCACAATCTCACTCTCCAAATTTTCCAGAGGGGAGCAAGCCTACTGCTAAGTGCTAACGTCTTCAAAAAAGTCAAATTCTAATACCACAATAATAAATACTTTACACAATGTATAGGAACAGAAATGATTCAAAAAGTTGTTGACAGGTAAACTGTAGACTCTGACAGGATGCTACCACACCAAATTATTTTTTAGGATCTTTATCCCAATTTTGAGGACTTCCAACTCACCAAATGAACCAAACAATTCTTATAATATTTTCACTCAATATTATGAACCTTGTAAACATATAATACTCATAAGCGATAAATACAGAATGCCTGGGCATAGAAAGAACCATACTTCGCTACTTGTGTTAAGATGTATGGACTGGATAGATATAAGACAATACCTATGAGGAATGTATTTGAGGCTAGATATAAGACAATACCTGTGAGGAATGTATTTGAGGGAACCCCAAACTGTTTGGCCGCCCATGGAGAAGCCAATCAGATAAAATTTGTCCCCAAGCTTTAACTGGTCGGCAAGATCTTCAATATCCAAAGTAAAGCTTTTCACTGTTCTCTTTGGATCAGGATCACTTTCTCCATAACCTGGCCTATCAAATGACACTATATACAATCCCAACTGTTCAATGACTTCCTGTGAGAGAGAAAAAAAAAAAAAAAAAAAAACAAGAAGAAGAAGAATGAAGCTTATGAATGTCTAATATGTCAGATCAATAGAATGAAATAGCATTTCTTGTCTAGAAGTAAATAGTGCATTTTATGGAATGTATTAATGACAAGAAAAGTTCATAGCTTAATATGCAAATAAATCACAAAAAGAAGTTAAAGTAACTTATGCAGATAGTGTCCATAGTCAAAACTTTTCAGCAAAAAAATTTCAGAGGAAATATCTATTAGTCACATTGTTAAAGAGAAAAATGAGAGAATAAATGTACAAATTAATAAAACATCAATAATAGGCAAGGGTAGAGACTTTGGAGTTGAGATATTAAGGTTTAAGTCCGATCACCTTCTCTAATTTTTCCTTTAAAGTGGGTGCCAAAAAGGTATGTAGCAAGAAAAAAAAAACAGAGGAAGTATATTTGTAGCTAAGACTATTTTTTGGATTTAAGAGATAAAACAAAAGTGAGTAACAAATGCAAAAGAGATTATGAGGACTAGCCTCAGATACTCCGAAAGTATTTCAATTAAGAGAAATTTTTCAATCATAACACATAGTGATGCATAATGGCGAAAATCATAAAGGACAAGAGTTTACCACAAATATTCACAAAAGGACCAAGTTGAGAGAGTTCTCAGATTACATGTCATCAAAAGCTAGTCTTCTTTCTAAGAAAGACCTACTTTGTATAAGTAATTTATTGATAACCAAGGTAGGAAATAAATTATTTTGGCTTTACTACGCTGAGATTAGACTAGGCTCTCTATTTGTTTTTCACTCTTGGAAAAACTATTTTCCACCAATGAAAAAATTGTTTCCACCCTTTATTAACCAAATAATGGAAAATGGTCCTGAAAATGTTTCCGTCAAAACAAACGGAGACTATGAATGGAAATCAAATTATACCCTCACTTGTGATCTAGCCTACTGCCTACTGGGTATGCTACTCAAACTGATGCTTAGTGTTATCAAAGCCAACTAAGAGACCGCTCCAAGCTTTCTGGAGCTTACCATCTGTTGCTCAAACTTAAATAAGCAAATTCCAACTAATTCTCTTCTTCCTTGATCTTCAATAACTTACCATTCAGACCTTTTAAGGCAATTTTAAGGGTATCTTCTAAGTAATATCTCAATGTTTTATGCTAGTCAAACCTGAGAGTTGACCCCCTAAACAATCACCTACCCTAACTACTTCAGAAAGGTGCCCACTATACATGACAAGTGGCTTTTACTTAACCTTAAAAGTTAAAATCAACCAAACTTGAAGCCCCTGAATCTCCAATTATCCTCAAGACTTGATAAAGCATACAGTAAATTCTATGTTATTAGTTTGCAAGAGTGTTGTGCATACCAAAAAGATTTAGGCAGCCCCCGAATGTATCGTTCAAGGCAAAAAAGAATTATGTGTGCTTAAGCAAAAGATAACACTGTATTGATGACCCTGTCCCAAAAAAAAATAAAAATGTATTGATGACAAAGATGATTCATGTTGAAACTAAAAATGGTGTTGGATATGATATTCTATTGTTTCATTATGGATTTTTGGAAAAAAAGTCGATTTCATGCTTTTGGTATAAAGATGATATTCTTTGGAAATCCCATATTACATCATTTTCGGAAAAGGAGAAAGAACCTTGCATCTATCTCCAGTTTTTAGTAATGACAATTTGATTTTGACTTTGTCAATACATAACTTTGGCTATTAATTTTGTGATTATCTATAAGTAAAAAATGATTATTGATACATTGGAAACATACACTAAGTAAAAGTTTTTCTTAGGTATATTATAGGAAATAAGATAAAAGATAAAGTATAATAACACTTTCATTCTCATATACACTCTACACTTTCATTTTATAAATGAATTTACTAATATTTTATCATCTCTCTCTTCCTACAACTAAAAATCTCTCTTATTCAATTGGTAAGAACCCACTAACTCTTACCTCATCTAATTCTTCAATAGAACAACAATCGATAAACTAGACAACATTTATCACCTAAAACTTTGTGCAAAGTTGAGTATAAACACCTTTCTAAGATGGAGGGAGTATATGAATATTGCTGAAATCCAAATGTTGCAAACTTGCATTTGAAAAAAAATAAAATAAAAATGAAAGAGGTATTTTATTTTATTTTTTTATTAAGGACCATTGCCAAAATATATCATTATTCATGTAGCACCAATTCAGATCACATCACAAGAGCATATCAATTTATGTAAGTAGCCCCAACTTATATTCCTCAATGAATTTTTTTTTGCTAATACAAGTTTTCAATAAAAGTAAAAGCAAGAAAGAAAGATTAAGGAATTTACATCCTTGGGTAGAAAAAAAAAAAATCAATACCTGAAGAAGGTTAGCTGCAACAACCACATCATGCCTGGAATTGCCAAAACCATGAACAAATACAATTTTAAACTTGGCATTCTCCTTTGGTACACCAATCTCATTGTAGGCCAAATATCTGCCATCCCTCAGCTTCACTCTTGGTGCTGTTATGGGCGGTCCACCAGGAAACCCACATATCCTCGGAGATGGTGGCAGGTTAGATTGATAAAGACATGTTGCCACTATGGCAATAAGCAAGATTATTCCAACACTCTTCAACATACCTAAGAATATATATTGAATTATAAGTTGGAAACATGAACAACAATCTTTACTTAATGATATTGTATTAGATTGATCAACTTTTAATGTAAATAAATGGCACATACTATGTAAACAAATATCAGCAATTTACGCGATAACCAAAGAAAGACACGAACATTCATCATTTAGGATATCAGTAGATTGCAATTCAGTGAATCATAAAATTTAAAGATCATGTTTAACAGGACTATTTACATAATTTCCATTCTACACGCGGGTGTAAATTACACACTCTCTTCATCTATTGCATTCTTCTACCCAAGTATATAAAGCATATTATTGCCAATATCAGTTAACTTAACCCCCCCTCCCCCCCCCCCCCCCCCCCCAAGAATCGGGATCAAATCTCGCCTACATCACAAAGATTAGTACTGTTCCATTAGGTAGATGAATGAATGAATTTGATGACAGGATTCATTAAACAAAAACATTTATTTATCTTTTTTATTTTAGTTTGTAAAATACAATAAATGATGAGATTCAACAAGGAATACTCCTAATCTGCTATCAGGGACTCAGCGTAGTAACTTAATTTACTCAAAATTGGAGCCAAAAGAACACACAAACAATTAAGAACAATTAATATCAAAATATACCCAGAAAATTGAAAAACAGCAGGAAAATATTTCTTTCATTGAATGAGAAAGTAATCAAAATTTTTGCATGAGTTTATGAAAAAAAAAAAACCTTCTCAGAAGCTGGAAAGATGAAAGTTAGTATCAATCTGAGACCCAAAGTAGCGCAGCTGAAGACTTGCTCTGAAGCTTGGTATGATTGTAATGATACAAATCATACAAGAAGAGTATAACTCTGGAGTATGAATTTGGGCAGAAAATGGGAGAAAAAGATAAACAAGTGAATTTGGCAGGGATTTCAATGTTGTTGTTGGTGGGTGAACCGGTATCTATCCAGGCACACGGCCACACGTATGACACATAATGACAGAAGTTTCTATTCACTCTCCTTATTTTTTTTACCTTATTCCATTATTTTTTTTTTTTTGGTAATGATAATGGAATTAAGTTTGAAATTCATGACAAAATCACGCGCGGAACGGTGTACTTAATGTTAATTTATTCTTAATATTTCCTTTTTTAGCTTTTTACACATAGCCCTAAGGACTATGTTTATCAATTTTTTTTTTTTTCCGACCTACTCGCTCCATCTCCTTTTTTTATGAACATTTACTTTTAACAATCAATTACCAATAATCAATAATTATATATTAAATTTCCTTAAAAAAAAATAGAAAAATAATAATAATAAATATTAAATTAATAATAATAATAATAAATATTAAATTAATAATAATAATAATTAATATTCAATAATAATAATAATCAATATTTAATGATAATAATAACTAATATTAAATTTATAATAATAATAATAATATTAATTAATTTATAATAATAAAAATTAGTATTTAATAATAATATTAATATTCCTCAAAAAAAAAAATTTAATAACAATTAATAATAATAATAATAATAATAATTAATATTTAATAATAATAATTAATATTAAATTTATAATAATAAAAATAATAATTAAAATTTTGTGAAAAGCTAAACGACACCCTCATTTTACCAGGTAACGTCCGCATTTAAATATGAATGGACGAACATACCCTCACCTGTATTCTACGTTTTTCTTCCCGCTAACTCAATGTAACATTCTTTCCTTCCAACCAATAAACCATCACCAACAAGGCCACCACCAACTGAGGGTGAGGTTATCTATCGTCGAGAGTTAAGTCATGTTTTTTTCTTTTTTTTTTGGTTGAAGGCAAAACGCCTAATTTTTTCAAATATCCAAGGAGAAAACGCGTAAAATTTTCAAAACACCTAGGGAGAAACTAAAATTCTAGGCGTTTCTCCCCATAGAGTTTTGAAAATTTTAGGCATTTCTTTTCCAATTTTTTTTGCGGTTTTTGTTTTTATCATAACTTTTGATCTCAAACTTGAATTAAGACAATTAATACATCGCTGGAAAGCTCTAGATGTCTACTTTCTAACCCAATTGAAATTAGGTCAATATCATTTCTAGATTTTAAGATATGGTTGAAATACTAAACTTGCTCTAAAACCTATACCCTTGCACAATTTCGGCCTTATCTTAATATCTAAAAAGGATGTTGACTTGATTTTAATTGGGATGAAAGGTAGACATCCAGAGCTTTTCAACGATATATTATTTGTCTTAATTCGAGTTCGGGATCAAAACTTATGACAAAAACAAAACCACAAAAAAAAAAAAAAAATGTCACGCCTGGAATTTACAAACTCCATGGGGATGGAGAAATGCCTAGAATTTTAGTTTCTCTCTAAGAAGTTTGAAAATTCTAGGCGTTTTCTCCTTTGGATAATTTAAAAACTAGGCATTTGTTCTCCAACCAAAATAAAAAACACGACTTAAACTCCGTCGATAACCTCGCCCTCGGTCGGTGGTGGTTTGTTGGGAGGAGAGAATATTAAAGTGAGTTAGTGGGAAGAAAAAAAATGTAGAATACAGGCTAGGGTATATTTGTAATACCCCGTATTTTTATAAATATTTTAATTTAAATAAGTATTTCTTAAAGTATTTAAATAATTCGAAATGAATTACTTATGGTTTTCATTAATTTAAAAAGAATTATTTTAAATAAAAGTTTATTTTTAATTATTTAATAATCTTGAAAATATTTTATTTCATGATTTGGAAATATTGGGGCATATTATTTTATAAAAGGAAACTTTTAAAGTCAATGAATTTTAAGGAAAGTCAAAATACTAGTTTGACTAGGAAAGGGATCATTAAGGGTAGTAAAGGAATTTTAAGTAGGAGGGTTATTGAGAGGGGGTATAAATACCCATCATATGCCAAAGGTGGAGTGCACCCAAAGGTAAACTCTCTCTCTCCTCTTATTTTCTTTTCCCCTTCTCCTTATTTTTATTTTTGTTCAATCACCACCCACGCACACCACCACACCCGCCGGCCACCACCACACGCCACCATCGGCCAGCGGCCACCACCACCGGCGTGCGCTAGTGGCAGCAGCACTGAACGACAAGCGCGACAGCAGCCTTGCCGCGGTGGTGCTGTGCGCACCTTTCAAAAAAAATTATTCTTTTGATTTTTAATTAAATCTACCCTAAATTTAATTATTGTTTTTGGGTTTTGTGATGATTTTATGATGTTTGATAATAAGTATGATGTATATAAATTTTCAGATTTGATTTTTAAGTAAAAAGCCCCAAATTGAAAACCCTAGGTTTCTAAATTAATGTTTATTGATGGAATTTGATTGTGATTGATTGAAACTATTGAAATTAATGTTTTTAAACTATATTACAGCAAGTTTATAAGTTTTAATAATGCTGGAATTTTTATATATAACCTATAATTATGTTTCTTGAAAGGATTTTTAATAACCCATTAATTGGGAATTAAAGTAAGGGTTTTTAATTAAATTTTAGCTTATTTTAGAGGGTTTATGAGTGATTTAAAGAGGGTATATATTGCTGGAAATTTGTGAGGAAGAGGTATTAATATTTCTTTGTAATTTTGATTTGCAAGAGACTTTCAAGTGAGTGATTTTATTTAGGCGTGGCGAATTTGAGATCATAGTCAAGGTAGATTCGCGTACTTGGTAATTTCTTGAATATGTAGAAGCATGCTAGGCTTTGCTTAATTAATTCCAAGTAGTATCATGATAGGTATTGGTTGAAATTTGTTGATTTGATTGATGTTGGTGAATGATTGGTAATGTATGAATTATTTATGATGAATTGGTGATTGGAATTAATTATGTTGGCATGTTGATTATGAACCATACTTTTATTATTGGCATGTTAGAGAGCATGTTTAATTAAACTAAATGTTTAATTTGGTTTGGAATATGAAAAGGGATTTTTATTATGGTTCATATAATTTTTATTGATGCTTTAAGCATGGGAATTGAGCTATTTAAGTGTCTTAGTACACATGAATAAATTATATTGCGGTGCTTATGTGCACTTAAGGTGTTTCTAACACCGAGGGATAGGATTTGCGGCGCATTATGCGTTTAAGGTGTCTTTGACACCGTGGTAGTTAAAAAGGGTTCAACTATTAAATATATGTGGACACTAATTATTCAAGAATTAAATTGATATGTTTGATTGCTTGGATGAATTATAATGTTTAGTTGTGCTATCGTTTGAGAGTCATCACCAAGTATAATAATATGTAAACAACGTAAAGTGAAAGAGATTACACACCAAAACTCTTGGAACGTATATACCTTGGGTATGAACATATGGGGGGAGTTATGGGGTTTTATATTTAACCATGACTTCTACTGGGAGTACACGACGTTGTATTTTCCTTTTTATTTATTTTATGCGCAGGACGTCCGGTCACTTCATGTGACATTTGTCTACCAGGCGCCACCACCACGGTGGCGGTGGTCAGGCCATGCGCCGGCCACTATTTCGTCCTTTTTTTTTTTTTTAATTTTATTTAAAGTTTTTGGTTTGTTTTTTTTTTTTTTTTTTTTTTTGTGTTTTTTAGCATTGATAAATTTGAAATTAAATATGTGTTAATAATTTCAAAAAAAAAACAAAATTATGTTTTATTTTGAAATTATGTTTTAAATATGTGTTAATAATGTCCAAAAAAAACAAAATTATGTTTTAATTTGAAATTAATATGTGTTAGTAACTTCAAAATAAAACAAAATCATGTTTTAATTTTGTATGTGTATGACTACTTTTATATATAATAACGTGTTAATTTTGTGTTAATTATGTGTACATTTAGAAATTAAATATATTATGCGTTAAATATAGAAATGAAATTTAGAAATTAAAAATTTAGAAATTAATTATGTGTTAATTTTGTGTCAAATGTATTAATTTAATCTTTATATAATTATATTTACATGTCATTGTTGTAGGATTTTGGTGGAGACGGTGTTGATTACAGCGGGATTTTTGTACATGGTGGTCCCTTTGAAGATGCTCAACAAGAGATAAATTGGGCAAAACAGGTTGCAATTAAATCTGGTTTTTGTTTAGTAGTAGCATCTCATAAATCTCAGCGGGATGGTAGAATGGATCGCATTTTGAGATGCGACCGTTATCGCAAAAGGGAGGAACGAAATTTCAGTAGAGCAATTTGGTTTGATACAAAGCGGAAAGGTTGTGGGTGTGAGTTCAGAGTAAAGGTTCGGCAACACCAAAGTCGTGACGGTTGGGAAGTGAAGGGTTACTCTAAATGGGGGTATCACAACCATGAGATGATAGTATATGAAGTGGGTCATCGACAGTTAAGCGGCCTAAGTCATGCTGCAAAACTAGTTGTCAAAGAAATGAGTGATGCTCAAGTGAAACCTGCTTAAATATTAGCATCTGTGTTAGAGAAGTTTCTTGAAGACCAGCCGAACCGAAGACACATCTACAACGTCAGACAGAAACTGAGGTTTGAACGGTCAGAGGGACACAACCCTATTCAGCAGCTTCTACACCATGCACAAGCACGTGGTTACCTGTTCTGGTTTTATTATGATGAAGAGACATCGCAGGTGACTCATTTATTCCTTGTGCATCCTGATTATGCTGATATGATCAAGTCTTGGCCATCTGTGATTTTGATCGATTCAAAGTACAAGACAAACAAGTACAAGTTCCCACTGGTTGAGATGGTTGGGATGGCTCCAACGAACCAGAACTTTTTGATTGGTTATGTTGTCATCGCTGTCGTCGCCATGGTGGAGGTCTCTAATCAACCTCGGGTGCGAATACCGGTTGTACCATTCCATGTAATGCTGGTCACACATGCCAGTCACCTCAGTTGGAGGCCGCTACAGCTCCGCAGTCCATAGGCGGGCAACCATCGAAAACTGCTCCCACGTGGCAACCATGCTTTTCGGCCATTGGACGACGTACTCCTTCGACGACGCAG